ATTTCTGATAATTTGATTTCAGTAACCATTTCCCAAAATGTATAGAGAGTTCTGATATGAACGAGGAATCTGAAAACCAAGCCCCAAAACCCTGAAAACGCGCCCTGAAAATGGCCACAGAATGCGTAGTTTGGTGGCACGGTACCAGCCCCCCCCCCCCCAACACACACACACACTATTTGATTTTACGGAGGCCAAGTGTCCGGTGAAAAAAACATGTCAACATTTCAGCACAGATGAGCCCCCCCCCCCCCCAACAAAAATAAAATAAAATAAAAATGCTGGATACGCTGCCGCACCGACGGAAGATGCCTTTTACTGAGCAAGTGTTCCCTTTTTAGTGATGCCGCCACCCCCTCCCAGTTTGCAAATCGTTCCGCCGCCGCTGCCCCAAGGTGGGATGTAAACCCACGATTGTTTATGTTACAATCCTGAGTTGAGGCCACGAAACTCTACACGCTACATTGCATCAATGGAAACAGTCCGCCAATTCACCATGTTACCCAAACCAGACTATTCTACCCTCCATACTCTACCTGGCTTTAACATCGTTCACGTGCACATTGGAGACGTGGATATTGTACGCAATGCACGGCAAAACAGTACCGGTCAAGTTGATCTTTCTCAAAATTTTTATTTCAAATACATCGTAGTGCAATTAACGGGGTTTTTTTATATGTAAACTAATACTACACACTGGCTTGCATAAGTTGCTTAAAAAGAGCTTGTATAGATTGATAGAAACAGCCAATCAACCACACCCCAAATGTACAACTTTCGCACTGGATACTTTGACAAATGCTGTACTTTTCTAACAATTATTATCGGAGTACAATTACTGAATACATTAAGCTTCGGAATGGCAGTGTATTAACAGGTGTTCTTAATAGAACTTTATCAATAGTCCCCGTGAAATTTCGTATCAATTATTTATACATAATTGTACAGGAATTGTTAGCTCATTTAATTTGGGTTATTGTCAGGGTTCGGTTCGTAACATTTTGTCCGTTCACTTTTTTCTGATCAGTTACCTCCGTCGAAGTCGGAAGTTGAAAAATACTCTGTGATTTTCTTTTTATTTAAACATGGTGGAATATCAATTTAAGTTTTTTTTATACTAATTATCTTGGGTTTTTTTATTTGGCAATATTGGCACTAATGATAAAGTTGCAATAGATTACAAGTACAACACGACGATGTAATTAATATTTGTGAGACAGTTATCGAGACAGTGGGTTTCAGACGAATGTTAAGTATCAAGGAACAGAAAAATTTAAACGCCCGACCTCAAGACATTGACCGAAGATCGTGGTGCATAAATTTACAGCCAATTTCGAAACGCTAATCCCAAAAATTGACACGGAATTTGATGTCGCGGATTCTTTTACATGGCGCCCCGGTACCAACTTAAAAGTACGGAAACTTAAGCGACCACTATGATGCAATGTTTGAATAAAAAAAGCATAGACCCCACAGAAATTTCTTTCCTCAAAATAGGAGACGAATAACAGTCTTGTGTAAGAATAAGCTAGCAAATAAAAGTGAATGGGTAAACGTATACACTTGTTTTGCAAATTTTGCCAGTGCCTTGAGACTTAATGTATTACTGATAAAACGTAAAGCAACTAAAATAATGTTAAAAACGTTTAGCTTTTTGCAGTCTATATTATAAATACTTGGTCCATGGTGTAAATACTTAATGCTGAACGCCATATTATACTACAAAGCTGAAAATAAAATGTTCAAGGAATTTTATCCTTAAAATTGGTAGAGCAATGCCAACATTCTTTTTGGCTATCTTTATAAATTAAAAAATTCAATCTGTTTCTTACCTTTCGATAAAAAGATAACAGTGCAATATAATTATTTAAAAACAATGGGAAAAATGTAGCTACGTGAATGAACAGATGAAAATAAAAATTAATAGCATCGCGTTCATCCCTTCCGCAAAGTTCATGACAACTTGAAAAATTTGAATAGCCACATTTTCCAGCAACGTGACGGTAAAATACTTTTTTTAAGTTGGCAAAATTGAATTCAGTGCCAACAGTATAGTATAGTGTTCTGCAGGCTGCTTGACCGACAAATGACGTCATATGCGTGGGAATTAGTCTTACGTCTGAAGAGCAGCGATACTGCAATTAATAATGATAGGGCACCAGGTAAAATGCCAGCGGACTCTCGACTACTCAATAATCTGATTGGATATTGAAACAAAGTACAATTAGAATACAAGACCAACAAAAACGTGTTTTTGTAAATTTTATGAGGGTAGCAAAGGGACCAAAACGATTGAGACCCTCTACATTAGAGTGTGATAAAATCCACCACTTGAGGGCGCCAACACTGATTTGTGGTCAAAGTTTATGCATTTTTTTTTATTAACCTTTGGCTTTATGATTATAGTGATTATGGTTCGGAGTTTCACGATGTGCTCTGTTTATTTGGAGGATATAAAACAGAAAAAAAATCTGTAATAATTCATATGGATAAATTTCCGTCGTGCCTTTAGCATTAGGCCTAACACGCTAGCAACGAACGCGGCATTTAACCTGTTCACCGGAACTTTAAAAGGTTTACCGAAATATACATAGGAACAAATCTACAAATGGTTCTCAAACGATAATAGACATCACAAATACAGACTCTAGAGTACTTTTGGATTTCAATCAGTAATTTATCGAGACTTGAAACAAAATAAATATTGTTTCCGTATGCCCCGCCCACAAAACAGCACCCCTTCCTGACTGATATCTTTCGCAAAAATAACACTTTTATTTTACATATTAATATGTAATCATTGGTTGGAACCGTTTAGTGTATTTCTTTTCCAATTTCGTTTCTGTAAACCTTTCAACTAAAGCCATAAGATCGGTATACGTTGGGGGCGTTCTAACCAGAAGGATTTGACTCTCTCTCTCTCTCTCTGTCGCTTATACTTGAAATGCCCTTTGTATATAGAATCGCTTTCCGCTTCATTTTCCCGTTTGGAGAACAGCAGCCCTATTTTAGGTCGCACGATAGAAAAACATGAAAATAATTATGACTAATTCGGATAAAGTTAATGTGCGACAAAGAACTGAAATAAGTGATGAGAGTAGTACAGATAATCAACCGTTGGCCTAACTACGGGCGTCGCTAGAGGGTGTGGGGGAGGGGGTGGTCACACCCAGCAACCCTCCCCTCCATTAATAAAAAAAAAATCGTCGTCTTGTCGGCAAAATCGTATTTCTGTTAGCAATGTGCTACAACGAAGAGCGCCACCGATACTGTCCATTATCGTCTGCATTTTAACCGCGACTCCACTGGCTCCGTCCCCCTCCCCCACGCCACTTTTTTTGGATTTTGGTACTGCAGGCTGACGGTGACCGTACAAATCCTGGACTACCTTCCAGCACGGAGTGTCAGCATATTTTTACATTACAACCCCAAATTTGCCTTGCGACGCCCCTGAGCCTACCCATGGGGAAAAAATACAAGTGTTACAAAAAATCATGATGAAAAAGTAATGGAAGATACACACACAATATAAGTAGAAATAAATATCATGTACAACGCGTGAAGCAGAACTTGCCACGCACGAATATCATACACTGCATTGTATTCATAAAATCTTTGGTCTTTTTCTCTTATAATGCCTTTTTTCAAACCAACCACAACGAACGTGCTCTTTTGAAGTCACTCGTCTAAAACGATCGAAAAGGCATTTTTTTTTTCCTGACAATAATTTAACACAAATCTCCGGCAAGACAATCTCCACAACATTTCTGCAATATTTCATTGGCTGTAAAGACACATGTCACCAACCAAAGTTTCTTTTGTTCTCTGCCTTAAAAAAAAAAAGTATACGAAGATTACACGACACACAAATATAAGGCATTCATTTCAAATGTCATTACATTCTAAACCATTAACAGGGATCAGTCGTTAACATCCAGTTAATGCAGCCTAATACAGAGTCTTTTTTTGGGACGCCAGTTCGTATACGATGGGAATGGTGATTTTGCAAACAGTGTTTTAAAAAAATTCCGGAGTGACGAAAATAAAACACTGTGTGTGAAAAGCCGACCTCTGGTGTTTCCATCAGCAATGGACGTGTTCAAACCAAGTAAAGCGGCTTGACAATTTTGCTCTAAAACAAAACAATGAGAGGAAATGGTCAGCGAACCACAATGGGCTAGAAAGGTGTTTTTTTTTCACTGCTAAATTGAAACTATATTATTAGAAGGTTACTGCTTAGCAGTCACCTAGGAAACCGCTTTGTATGCATGGCTAATTACACAGTGACCTACATCATTATTATTACCACTTGAGTCTCCTCACTGAGTTTTTCTGGATCTTCTGTAAATATATAGTTTGGTTTGATTTGGAAAACTGTGAGCTTATTGTCGGTTACATCACATGGGTATCTTTTCTGCGGAGCTTTTTGGAGGCAACCAAGTTTGGCAACAGACGTATAATCGACTGGCACACCGTTTACCAAAGAGAAAGGTACACACGGGATGTGCTAAAGTCTGGCACCAAATAAGGTGGGATAGCCCTTCATCTGTGAGGCAAACGTAGATTTATCACCAGTATACAAGAAATCGAACATACGTTTTCGTAGGGAAAAAAACACGGTTCGTACACTCCGCAAACATTGTGCGTGTTTTTCGTGAAGCTGCTAACCCAATTGCGCAAAGTCAAATGGGTTACCAACGAAATATTTCATTTTTTATATTTTTTCTTCATTGTGTCATGTTTATTTCTTGTGTAACTGATTCTTGTTTTGCTCGGCATGTGGACGTGCAAAGGTAATTTTAGGGATTTTTTGGGCGAAGCGGCTCCATTAAATTGAGCCATTAAGGGAGAATTTCCTTCTGGAAACCGTACTTGTAAATGGCATGTTTTGTTGGTGAGACGGTTATTAACATCATTTATCAATGACAGGTACGATGACATTTTGAACTATGGATTTAAGTTGGGAGCTAGTGTTTTCCTAACACAGACTATCAAAGAAATAAATGATTCACAATGTTTATTACATGGGACATTTAATGTACAAAGGAATACTCAGCCCCCCTTTCAATTTTCAAAGAGTTTAAAAATGCTGAGGTATTTTTTTGAGATGGCTTCATTTGATCTACTTGTGAGAATTTAAATCATAGAAAAATAAAATTCATCGAACAATATAGCGGCAGAAGTCGAAAATAAACTCATACAAAAAGCAAAAGTCATACACTGATGATAGAATTTGTAAAGTGGCTGTGAAGAACAGCCTACCATGCAAACTAGTGACCACCAATGCATTACCACATCAGTGTGATGTCTTCCTGTTGGCATGCATGTTGAACCTTCATAGATTCACGTTTGAACCTGACCTGTGACGTCATGGTGATTTCTCTGAGGATGAGGTCGATGAGGAATCTTCTCCCTCGGCTTCTTTTTCCTCCTCCCCCACCTTTTCTCCCCTCTCTCGTTCCGTCTTCTCTTGTTTCATCAACTCCTCCGGTGACGATCCATCTTTAGACTCCGCTCCAGATGCAGACTCGCCCGTCAGCTCGGGCGTGCTATGTGACGTGTGCTCCCCGCTCGTGCTACCTAGAGCCGACCCGGACCCTTGACCTGATGACTCGCCTGGCTCCAGTCGGTTGCCCTGCAGCCAATAGTGCACCGTGCTGTCGATCACGTGACGGAAATGTCTCATGACGCGGTTGCCTATGGACTCGTACGGTTCGGGCATGACCTGAAGTATTAGCAATACCGATACAGTTACCAATACAATTTTTACTTTTTGCTTTTACAAAGGCAAGACGTTCAGAAAGACTCACTCGTTTTACTCACGAGCACGTTAAAAAAAATCACAATTTGTAGTCTTGCTTTTTAGTTTAATAAACGTCCTAACGGGATGGCGGAATTCTTTTGCTTCCTTCATTGTTTCCATTTTCCAACTGGAACAAAATGAAGGTGAGAAGATTTCGATTTCGTTTTTAAAGTGCTGACCAGTTTTAAATAATAAAAACTACACAGTTAAATGCAAGTGCATTAAACTAACTTTGAGTGCCAGCTATTGCGCTAGTTGGAGTGGTTACAGCGCTCATTGTACAGCGCCCTCCGGCTTACCTCTATCTCTGCTTCTTGTTTGCCGATGCGCAGTATCGCCTTGTACAGCTGTTTCTCCACCGTTGTGTGGACGCCCCGGCTCTGAATTGTACCAATCAACTGCAGGTCCAGCTGGTCCAAGATCTCTTGCCGGGCCGTTACCACGTCACTTCCGGAATCTACCATAAATTCTGAGGGAACTGATACTTTCAGTCAAGTGCATGAAGGTACCAGACAACTCGGGCTTTAATTTTTGCTCCCCTCAGGCAATCATTAAAACGCCCCAAAAGATTCAACTACTGATGTGATGAAAACAATATCGTTCCACCTTTTGTCATTTTCAAATGTAAATGATCATGCAGGTTGACACAGTCACTGTGGTACCGGTGTGAAAACCACCTGGCACACCATGTGAACTATGCTAGATCTCCATTTGCATTGATCTTGCAGAGAATTGGAAACTGAAATAGGCCTACTACTACGTATGGGATAACATTTCATGTTGCCTACTATAATTGCGAATTAAATTTGCGTGTCCCGTGCTCCTCAAGAAATTCGATGATTTTTTTTCTATAAATAATTTTCCAACTTTTAGCTTATGTTGTTATTCCAACCAAAAACCCCTCATTTTTTTTCTTTTTGGAACGTCTTATTAAAACACTCTGAAAAACAGGTTTTTGTTTTGGGAACAAACAGATCCGCTTAGCGAGCAGACCGGACATTATCGATACTGATCGTAGGGCGGGAACCAGCCAACGGAATTATATTGTCTGGCAGCCAATAAATTGTAAAGTAAATTTTCATAACTAAACGTGAGCCAATTATTATCGGTCATTGTCTCATTCACTACTGGTTTAGTTTTGTATTGCTAGAAAAATAGCAACACAAATTAGAAAAAAGAATCTATTTTCTGGGATGAAACTCGTAAAAAGCACGGGGAATGCAACGTTAAGTACGCAAATCAATGGCAATGGTGTTTCGTATCAAGTTGGCACACTTTGTTACATAGCCATGTTCTATTGATTCACAAGTCCTCGTTTGCAAGCATGACAATAAATGTTGTCCAACCCAACAAATAAGTCTTTAATGATGTACAAGATAATTTTTGGACAAAGAGGCTTTTTCAACAGATTTCCTAAATAGAAAAAGCATTAAAAAATATTTAACAGTTTTACCAACGTAATATAATAATAAAGATGTCAACGTGATTTGTAACTGAAAGGTAGAGTTTGATCTTTCTGTTGCTAATTAAACAAAAAACAAAAAAACCGTGAGGTGAAAAAACAGAAAAAAATCCTTCGGACTCATTTTGTGGGACCAGAGACGAATGAAAACAGCCCTACCTTCAGTGAACGAAAGACTATCAGGCTTGTTGGATTTGAGTGTTGCTTGGATGCAGAGGAAATCATATTTGGCACCCTCTAGTGCCGTGGGCTTGCCCCAGTATCCGATGGCCACTGGCACCTCGGCTTCCAGCTCTTCTATCCGACGCCGTTTCCGTAGCTTGGGTACTGAGCGATGGATGGATAGGAGAAAAGGAGATTAGGGACTAGATCTCGTACCATAAAACCAAACATTTCTTCATTCTTCCCAATTTGGCGTTTTCCTTCATCTTCTTATCTGGCTTCAGCTCAGCGGATTTTGTTTGGCTGTTAACTTGGGGACTCTGGCTCAGTACAGGTCCATGTCCTCAGTGTTTCAAAAACATGAACATCTTTTTCCATTCAGTTTGGGACATGAAAGGATTCTAAGATGATTCTGTGGCCAGAGATCAAGCCGAGGCCAGACAACACGGAGCCAAATCAGTCATGTCGTAGACAAAGCGGTAGTTTAAAAAAAAACAAATCAACATGCACTTTTTTGATTTCGCGTATATACAGCGCGCGTTGTATCAACAGCTGACGCGCATTTTGGTCACGTACACAAATTATGATGTTTTAAAAAGGACACGTTTCCGTTGTGATTATAATTTCCAAAACGCCGACAAAGTGAACTGCGGCATTAAAAAAAAGTAAACCACGACGTTAGAAAAATTGTAAACCTTGGTCAGTGATGGTGGTCAAAATATAAGTTAAGTGTACCGCGATGTTACAAAAGAAATCATGCTGTCTATAAAGACGGCAACTTGCCCTTTGTAGATCACCAGCCGGTCTCACCGGTCTCACCAATATGGCGTCAAATTCGTTCATTGTGCCGCTCTTTATCCGCTACCTAGTCTTTAAATTGAGATCAGTAAGCTCTACATGTACTATGTCTCACCGTTAGTCAGTATGTTAGTTAGTAGGGGAGTAAGTTAGTTAGTTAGTTAGTTTGTTAGTAAGTTAGTTAGTTAGTAACAAACGTTGACATTGTCTATTGCTCCTACATACTTTGACCGATTTTAACCAAACTTTGTCAAAAGTATCAGTAGCCCAGCCCCAACATACCACATGACCCAACTGGGGTCAAAGATCATCAGGGGTCAAGGTCAAAATAACGTTAAATTTGAAATAAGCTCAAGTGACAATAGTAGCGGTCAACATGCTAGCCTAGCTTGGTCGAACATTAAAAAGTCCATGGTGACCTCTTCGTCTGACCTACAGTTATGAGGTAAAAGGTCAAAATAGGCCAAATTTGAAATAAGCTCAAATTCAAAAGTAGCACTGTCAACATGTTGGCCTTGGTCAAACATTTTAACATGTCCATGGTGACTTCTTCGTCTCACCTACAGTTACGGGGTTAAAGGTCAAAATAGGTTACATTTCAAAGAAGCTAAAATGACAAAAGTAGCGCTGTCAACATGTTGGCCTTGGTCAAACATTAAAAAATGTCAATGGTGACCTCTTCACCTGGCCTACAGCTATGGGGTCAAAGGTTGGCCCGCAGGCGTAATTTTTATTTCTAGGACGGTTAGGGCCAATTCATTAATAATTCAGTAGTTTCGATGGGAAAGTTATTTTTTTTTTCATGAGAACAGAACAATGACAGCAACAGCATTGTTGTTATTTCAGTTACGTTAAAGCATTTTAATGAACGTAACAGTAGCCTAGTTGATGGCGAGAGGAGCTATGGATACAAAGATCCCTGTTTCGAATCCACGTCGTCGCTGCTCATTTTCATCGACTATTTTTCTTCTCCAATTTTATCACTGAGATAATTTCAATTTTAAGGGAAAAGGGAAAAGGAGAACGAGAACCTATGTCTTGCCATGATTCAAAGGAAAAACTGAATTATTCATATTATTGCCCCTAACCCCCTGGGGAAAAAAACGTGGCCCGCAGGCTCCGCAGCTTCCGAGATCCGATCGAGCTTGTTACTCTATCAGGAAAATAAAATGTTATTATTTGTAATCAAATTTACAAATGTTCGACCAAAGACAATTCGTTTGGTGTACGTGAATGGCAATTGCAAATAAAATAAAGATAAAATAAAATAAAGCAAATAAATAAACATATAAAGAAATCATTCTCTATAGAGGGCGCTATCATTCTGTCCGTATCATCGGCCTTAATATCTTGCCTAACGAAATTTTATCAAAAATTTTCATTCATTCTCTCGAAACAAAGAAATACTTTTCGTTTTAACGAACTGGATTTCATTAATCAAAACGGAAAAACAAGTCCAAAGGAAAACACTTAAGTGTTTGCAGGGTCAAAGAGAATTAGAAATCATCCCTTAGTTTCATAGAAGACAGGCAGCTGACCCGGCCATGACTCCAGTAGTCTCTTTCCATCCAACCATGTTTTTCTTCATCAACGTTTTAACGAGACATCACCAAATCAACATCATCATGGCCAACAACATGCCGTCAGCGCCCGCCCAGGCTAAGCCAGGGCCCCGCCAAACAAATTACTCTCGCCACAATTGAGATACTCAAACACACACACACCCGTGCTAATTCCAACATAAGAAAAGAAAACAAAAAACTAGACGGACGTTGTGTTTGTAGGTAAACAAACACCAAGCTGTTTCGGTGTTTTTTTCTGTCTTTGAATGAAAAAGATTGACGTGGCCATCGGCGGCTATCGAACCCAGAACCTTTGTGTTGGGATTCTAAGTTTTTGCCGTGTGTGCCAAGTGTGTGAAGTCGATTTATGTCAGACGTCCTAAATCCACGTGGTTCAATGTGTGCGCAGTCCTCTTTTCTTTGCGTTTCGGAACGGGTGCGCGTGCAAAGTGTCAGGTGATTCCATAAATTTAGGGTCAAATTTTGGTGTCCGAGTTACATCTGACTTGTGTAAGATTTTGTAATTCAGGACACATGTCTCTGATTCTAAGAGTGATTATGTAAAGCAAACTACTTGGTAAACAAATGAAAAATAGTGTGAAGTCATTTTTATTGACACTTGAATGGCAAACAAGGATGATTTTTTCCCACATGGTAGGCAATGGGCATGGTTGTGCAATGGGGGGGGGGTGCATCTATGTGAATATTGTATTCTTTACATGTAGTTAACTAAGCACCTCTGATTTTTTTTTTAACGTTATCAGCATACATATATATGACTGCCCAAATCATCACTTAGTATCCAGTTTTGCCCTGCTCTGATGATATCCTTTTATCCCGCCCCCTGCATTCGTCACATGACTGTCTCCTTTTAACTGCACACATTGATTCCTCAGATTGTATGTAATTTTGCCCCTCGAAATATAATCCTGACAATCGCGAACGTTTCATTATAGGTAGATCATTTAAAACACTAGAGGGCAGCAAACAACTTTAACAGTGCCACAGTTGTGTGCGAGGTCTGACAAGAATACAAAACGTCTTGGAAAGAATTCCATATACGGACTCCAGTTATTTTCCTAGATATGACTTGAAAAGTACCAAAAGTTGTAAATCTGACGATGAAATGGAAATGTAGGAGGGGGAAAAAAATCAAGATTTCTTTAAAAATACTTTGACGTTTCCTGTCATGGCCCATAGAGGTGGAGGCTTATATGGAATTCTTTCCAGTGTTCCTAACGTGGCGCACTTGAACAAATCCCCGAAAATCCGACATTAACATTTAAGAAATTCTTTAAAGTTGTTAACTTCTGATAAATCATGATTATCCCAACTCACATACCCAACTACAAGTTTGTCACATTTACGTAAGCCGCATAAATCTGTGGCATCATGACTGTACCGCGTAGAGTGCGCGGGGACCTGGCCAGCTGTAGGGCGGCAAGGCATGCACGCGCACGCTGTCAAAATGTCAAGTTGGATAACGGTCGAGTTGTCCGACCCCATGGGTACAAAGCCTATGGAGAAAAGAACGTGCACAAACCCTATGGAGAAAAGAACGTGTACAAACCCTATGGAGAAAAGAACGTGTACAAACCCTATTGAGAAAAGAACGTGTACAAACCCTATGGAGAAAAGAACGTGTACAAACCCTATGGAGAAAAGAACGTGTACAAAACCTATGGAGAAAAGAACGTGTACAAACCCTATGGAGAAAAGAACGTGTACAAACCCTATGGAGAAAAATGAATCTTTAATGTGAAGTAACCTTACACCTGATGATGTCACGATCATGAATTTCTTCTAGGACCATCTGTGGGTGGTAGTCTAAGTGTGTACCAAGTCTAACGTCGATCGGATTTACGAAAGTGCCAAAGTAGAATGTTTTAAAACGTGTACAAACCCTACGGGGAAAAATGCATCTTTAATGTGACGTAACCCAACACCTGATGACGTCACGATCACAAATTTCTTCTAGGACCATCTGTAGGGGATGGTCTAAGTGTGTGCCAAGTCTAAAGTACATCAAATTTACGAAAGTGCCAAAGTGGAGTGTTTTAAAACGTGTACAAACTCTATGGGGAAAAATGCATCTTTAATGTGACGTAACCTGACACTTGATGATGTCACGATCACGAATTTCGTCTAAGACCATCTGTGGGTGGTGGTCTAAGTATGAATTAAGTTTAAAGTCGATCGGATTTACGAAGATGCCAAACTGGAGTGTTTTAAAACGTGTACAAAACATATAGGGAAAAACGCATCTTTAATGTGACGTAACCTGACACTTGATGACGTCACGATCACAAATTTCGTCTAGGACCATCTGTGGGTGGTGGTCTAAGTATGAATTAAGTTTAAAGTCGATCGGATTTACGAAGATGCCAAACTGGAGTGTTTTAAAACGTGTACAAAACATATGGGGGAAAATGCATCTTTAATGTGACGTAACCTGACACCTGATGACGTCACGATCACAAATTTCTTCTAGGACCATCTGTGGGTGGTGGTCTAAGTATGTACCAAGTCTGAAATCAATCGGATTTTAAAAAGTGGCAAAGTAGACTGGTGGAAGAAACGTGTGTTAAACCTATGGAGAAAAAAATCTGAAATACTCTTAGCACGGGATGTACAATCAGTGACGTCACTATAAATGTCATCTATAACAGCACATTATAATATGTACATGTCAAGTTACAACCAAATTGAACATTTTAGTTCTGTTGATATCGACCTATAAGAGAATAGAATGCCTCTTTAAGGGACTTCACATGACATTTGATGATGATGTCACTTCAATTTCCA